TTGGGGTAGGGATTCCCCACGAGGAGTTCACAGGTATCGGGTTCCTCATGGGACTTTTCCCGTTTATTGTTTTATATTCAAAATTATTTCTCAGTTAAATATTTTTTTCTATGGAAATTTCTAATTAATTGCTTAATTTTCAACGATAAAACTTTATTTCACTCCTACTCATATCCTCCTCTGTATATGAGTGAATTGAGAATAATATGATTTTTTTAGTATAGAGATAATAACATGATTTTTATAGTGTATATATAAAAAAAATTAAAAAAAAGTGAGGTGGGACGGGGAACAGGGAATGGGGAAAAATACTTTTCTCATTGCGGGGAATTTAAATTGGGATTCTCCACTCCCTTTAAGTAGGTCACAACGGAAAAAATAACATCCCTAGAGATAAATGGAAATGGAAGCACAAAAGCTATTGATATCCAAGATCATTTCTAAATTAAATTAAATTTGAGTTATTCATTTGAATTGAATAAGCAAATATTGGTAATTAAATGGAAATTAGTTGCATTAAAAAAATATCTTACCTAGTTCAATTAGTCCAGATCGATATATTAAATCTCATCGATGTATGATATTTTCATCGACACTTTTATATGTCAAGGGATTCAACATCAACAGAAAAAGTAAATCAATATTTCCATTATATCCTACCAAACTAACAAAATAGAAATTAATTAGTATGGACATAATACTAATAATAAAAAATTTTAAACTTATTTAAAAACGATAAAATACTTATTAGTTCATTTAAATCATTTTTGTAAATTTATAAATTTTTGTAATCTTCCAAAAAAATATTGATTGACACAGATATTTTATTCATGTTTTTATGATATTTTAACATTTTGATTCATAGCAAATCTAAAATCTCAAGACATTAAAGAGGTTCGAATTTTCCCATCAATTTTTTGGAATGGAGGGAAAGAAAGCACTTATTTTTAAAATATTTTTCTTTGTGAAGGCATTGATGGTATGCATGGCGAATTTTTGTAATTTACTCGTGGTTCTAAATATCTGTCGACACATCGATATTTCCATCGACATACATATATTTTCATGGGTTCGACATCGATATGAGGGATAAATCGACATTTTCATTATATTACCAAAAAATCGACAAAATACGAAAAATATCAACAAAATGTCACTAATATATACATAATATTAATATTAATTATTTTTTAACTTATTCAGAAATATGAAAATGTTTATTTGTTATTAAAATAATTTTTATGATTTTTTAATTTCTATAACTTTTACAGAAATATTTTCTATGAAATTGATATTTCGAAATTTCCAACATCGACATTTAAAACTTTGAATTTACTACAACATCCCACTATGGTAAATATCATGCAAAATGGTTGAGTAAATTGCATTGAATGACTTTAATTTTAAACGGTCAATAAGATATGACCGCAGGTTAGAAAATTTATTATTTTTTTTTTGGCTCTGCTCCTTTTTTTCTCTCCTCTCTCCTGGAGATGAGAAATATGAAGATTTCGAGAAAAACTTGAAAAACAAAATAAAGGATCTAAGAAACAAAATAAAGAATTAGAAAAAAAATTAGAAAGAGAAAATTAAGGAAGAGGGAGAGGAGGAGTGAAAAGTAATTTCACGTGATGGTGAGTTCATAATAACAAGTTTTTTTTATAATCGGGTAATATTTCACTGACGCCTCCAAATTTATATCTTTCAAAATGGTTCATATTTTTGTACATTCAAGCTCTAACCAATATAATAGAATACCTCTTCTAATTTTATCTTTTAGCCGATTTCAAATTTCACTGATTTACCATGTCTTGTTGCATGAGTAGTCGAATGGCTCGAATTCTAAAGAAAAATGATAATCTTCTAAGAGACCCACCATCAAATTGAAGTGGTGGGATCATCAGCGACAATAACTGCAACCAGTGGAAGGCAATCATCGTTGGACCTGAAGGTAAGGCAAGGCAGCCCTTACGAGAGAGGTTTATTCAAACTTTTCATATATCTACCTCCCAATGAAGCCGCCAAAAGTTAGCTTCAAAACTAAAATTTACCATCGCAACATCAATAGTAAAGGTAATATTTGTGTTGGTTGCAATTTGCTCTATGATGCCTCGTCCAAATCCAAATGATCACTTGAAATAGAGATTGCAAGACTTTACAAGAACAATAGGCCTCTTGTCGTGGATGGACACAAAATTTGCTCATTAAACTATAATTATACTACTTTATTTGGGATTATCCAAAGTAGTCAAAGTCAGTGTATTAAATTTTCATAAGCATGTCGATACTTTCATAGATATTTTTATTTCTATAAGTTCGACACTACTATTTTTCTTATATCGTTAAAAGATTGATAATATATAAAAAATAAAAACAACAAAATATCGTGAATATAGACGTAATATCAATGATAAGAATTTTTATGAGTTTTTCAATAATAAGATATTTTAATGAATTTATCATAAATTCTCATGGACATGAAATTTTTTTTAAGATCTCCCTTGACATTTCTAGAAAATTGAGATTTCAAAGGGTTAATATTGACATTTAAGACTTTGGTCCGGACTAAAATGTGTCTTTCTTTTGTAGCAAATAACAGAAAATAAAAAATAATCTACTAATTATTCTCTTATTGCTATAATATTTATTGCTTCATATCATCTTACTTTTGAAGTATAGAGGGCTTATACTTCTAACACATATCACTTAACTTAAAAAATTAAGGTATGTATTTCCCGACGCAACCTTACTTCTTTCTCACCCCATATGTTGTTATGTAATAGGAAAAGAAAAGATGAAGCGCTTAGCATGTTGATTATGTTAATATACCAACTTCTAAAATCCATTTTACTATGCTAAATTGTGTAATAACGGAAAACCCCGAAATAAATACTCGAAAATATTTATAATTCCCGAATTCCAGTTATTGAGCAAAGTTTTAACATATGTATACGAAAACCTAGCTTTAAAACATGTGATTAGCTTAATTTTTCTAATTTTATGAGCTAAAGTTATATGTTTATACCCTTGAATTCATCCATAACTCGACATATGAACGTAATCCTACTACTTATGCTTTTTTTCTTTTTTTGACAATCCATAATCGATGTCGTGTGGTTTCGTTAGTTGGATCTCTATACTCGTCTTGGAATAGGGGAAGCCCCTATTACGTGTCCAACGGGGCTTGAACTAGGGAGGGGTATCCCCATTAGGCCACAAACCCACTGCGCCACAACCCATTGGTGGTACTCGTACTACTTATGTTAATTCCGCTCATTTTAACATTTTCAATACAGATAATGTCTTGGACGGGCTGTTTTTTAAACTTATTTTCACAAATATTTAATATTTACAAATTTTACAGTTTTCGGTTTCTGAATTTAAAACTTTTTCCAAATGTCAAATTTACCCTTATTTATGACATTTATATTTATTATAATTAGTTTTTTATTTAAATGTAAAAGATTAAATGTTCCAAATTTGATTTTCTAAACGTTCAATCATTGTAGCCCCAAATCAATTATTGTCGTAATCGCCTAATTTACTCCTTAATATATTCTAACTAAAAATTAAATTTATTACAAAATATTTTTTCATTTCATTCCAACTGTACAAATGAATATAATAGACAAGCCAAAAACACACATACAAGTTAACAACAAAACATAGTAAGATAGCATAAAAATAATCTCATTATACCAGCAACCGTTATAACATAAACTTATATGAAAATATAAAATATATCCAACTACCATTATAGCATAAAATTATATGAAGATATAAATTATATCTAGGTATAAATTATAAGTGTTGACTGTAGTATGAAGAATCGATTCACCAAAATCAAGCTCAGATAAACTTATATATAAACTATAAAGTATATACGGTTATACCCCACTACAATTGACAAACAAGCCAAAGTGAGCATAACTCAGTGGTAATTAGCATATATCTCCCACCAAAAGGTTGTTGAAAACAGACTGCTGGAGACGATAACGACAGAAAACTAGGAGACGGCCTCCTGAAAACAATGGTGAAAAGCGAGCGGGCTGCTGTTGGCAAGCGAACGGAGAAAATGGAGAAGACTGTCGGAAAAAAATTATGTTTTTTATGAAGAGGACGAAGAAATCGACAATGGGTAGTTGTTTTCGAATGAAGAAGACAGAGATTTTGGTATTTTTTATTTCAGGAAAGTGAAAAGTTGCATAAAGTTAAGGATTTAAAATTTAACCTTTCAAATCAACCATTTTGAATTATCCATTTAATAATATTTAAATGTATATAAAAAATGATATATTAGTAAATTGTTGATGGATTCCATCTTAAATGGATTTATTTTAAGACAAAAGTGTAAATTTGGTAGGATGAATCTATTTATGAAATTATAATCTTAAAAAAAAATCCATTTTCAATATTATAACACACTAATATACAATCATAAGTTTGATAACTGTTATTGAGAAGGAAATTTAACAATATGGCACAACAAAATACTCACTTAGCACTCACGTAACAAAATGACCTTAAAATAGAGTCTAAATTCTAGTGTAAATAGAAGATAATTAAGAGACCAAAATGAACATTTTAAAAGTACAGGGAATAAAATAAACCAAAATTGAAAGTATACGATCAAAACGAACATTTTGGAAGAATAGAGACCAAAATGAACCAAAACTGAAAAGTAGGAAGACCAAACTAATATTTTAACCTAAATTATTTTAAGCCAAGTCTGTCATCCCTGGGACCTTGAGCAATTTGGTAAGACAGACCATAGTTAACCTCAAAAGAGAAGATAAGAAAGAAAGAATCCATTTGAGCCATTTCCTTTCCTTTGTAGAAATGTCTTTTTGCAGAAGGTAATAAAGAAGATTGACCCCAAACCAACTAAAACATTCAGGAAATCAAGCAACCACGAGCACCCTAGAAAAGCATTAATTTTCTTTAAGAAACTACATAATGACCATTTTACCCCTGCTTCAAAATGAATCAAAGATTGATTAAGGATAGCCAAAGTTCTCTCACAACTACAACTGCTTTAAAGCACTTTTGAAGAAGTGTCTGTACATGAATTAGCTTGAACTTATTCAACAAGATTGTTACAAGACGAGGACGAACAAGTAAAATGAAAGAAAAAAAAAGGACCCAAAAAAAAAAGAGACTGAACCTTCTTCTTCTTCTAAGTAGCTTCCCCTCTTTTTACCCACTATGGCTTCAACAAAAAAATAACACAACCACATGGGTAAGAAATATCCCCTTTTACAAAATGAAAAGAATAGCTCAGCCAAAAACTGAGCTCATCTCAATTTTTTATAAACCAACAGTCCCCCAACCACACAACTAAAAAGAAAAAAAAAAGGTCTTTAAACCAAACTCTACTATGATATACAATTTTACAAACTACACAAAATCTCATCCATGGACTGAGACCACTGTATATAATGGGGCATGTAATTATAACTGTAATTGCAATTGCGCTGACTCTGCTCTCCTTGATCTTGAAGGAGGCCTATCTATGTCTCCTGCTCCTGCTGCTGCTGCAGCTTGTGCCCCGCCTCCCGTTTCTTCCGGGATTTCGACCCCCTGCATGTTTCCAACACAATCTCAATACTCTATTTTCTTGGTCTATCGTCAGTAATGGGAGATTTATAACATTAGAAGCTAGTTTGAAGACTTCTTTTTTGAGTTGGAAGTAGTTTATGATCTGTGTACTGGTTTTAAATTTTGACAAGTTAAGCAACATTAAGAGAAACAAACAGAAAAGAACATTGATCATGAAATGAAAACTTCTTTTAGAGTAATAATTATCAAACAAATCCTAAACTGACTTTTATTTGTAGTATGCCAAGGTATGAAATATATTCAGTTCTCTTCAGACCATCATTAGAAAAGCTTTTCACTCAATAGAAGTAAAAAAATCACTCTGCAACGGAGCTGTCAAATAATGCTAGGGTGCTAGTGAAGCTAAAAGATTTTGGAAAGAAAAACTAATATTCGACGAACCGTTGTTGTTACCGGAGGTGGAGTACAGGTCCGTGACAGTGTCTGCTCTTTTGCATGTAAGCGATGCTCGTGTTGCATGTGCTCGAACTGTTGTAGCCTAGCAGCAAAGTTAATTCCATTACGGGAGTTCCCAGCATCCTGGCTTATATCACCATCTTCATTTATATTCAACCCAGAAAACTGATGCATCAAGGAGTAGGAGTTCCCGGATGAAAATTGCTTGAAGTGCTCGCCACTGAACGAGTACGGAGGCACTGTTTTGAGACGTGTTCGTAGTATCTTAAAGGCGGCACTTTGCTGTGTTTGTATGCCAACAAACCCATAGGTAAACAAAGAGTCAATTAATGCATCACAAGAGTACTATCATTCACTAAAGAAATGAACACAATTCTGTAATCTCAAAAGTTCATCAGCTTGTAAATTTACATCACTAATATCATTTGGCCAGTAGTAGACAAAGTTTGTTTCCAATAGGGTGCCCATGAATCAACATCATGCAATACAATAATAAACTATCTTATCATAAATTATGAAAATTGCAAATCCAATATATAAAGCACATCTCATAATTATGAAAATGTAAATACAGTAGATACTGCTCTTACCAGTAAGACCTAACCTATGAACCAATTCTAGAGAGAAATTAGGAGTTTTTTCTTTTCACAACAGATATAATGGATTAGGTTTGAAGAATTGTCCATTTTAATGCCTTAGCTTGTTGCCATAACACACTGTTGACCGTTGTCTACCAACTGAGCAGACTGGCTAGTCCAGGGCTACAGGCAAGTGCGGCAAAGCAAATCCAGGTAGACTCGACATGAACTGGAGGCGATGTCTAAGGCAGAAATGATCAAGGTTCATAGCAGGATTGTTTTCTAAGTTGTCCACACAAGTGGATCTTCTTCCAACTTGTATCCTTAACAGTACTGGAGCAATAATCAAGGATTCCACCATGGAGGATTGTTCAAACATAGACTGGTACGAATGATTATTTCAAACATAAATTTGGTATGATCTTTGTTAAGCTGACACATGCTCGTACGTCACCTTTCCAATACTGTTAATGATGTACAAGCATGTGTCATCTATCTCTGATAAGAAAGTTATAAAAGGTGTTTTCACTCTTTCCATTCTTTACCCTGTCTGATGGCTTCTCTTTTTGGATCACAGGATACCATTGAGAAACTATTTTGGGATTTCTTATGGGAAGGCACATCCACAAATGGCAAACCTCATCTTGTAAAATAGAAACAGGTTCAAATCCCTTTAAATGAAGGTGGCTTGGGAGTTGGTAATATCAAGCACAAAAACAGTGCTCTCCTCTCCAAACGGATTTGGCGATTTATCAGTGACAGACACCACCTTTGGAGGATCTTCATTCAGCTAAGTACATGGGATCTACAATGAACACTTGGCCTGTTCCATGCTCTTCTGCCTTCAAAAGGTCCGTGGATTTCTATCCTTCAACAGACTCATCTCATTAAGGATTTTGCTCTCTTCCAGGTGGGGGAAGAAAGTCAGTGCAGTTTTTGGAGGGACAAATGGTATCCACAAGGGACCCTTGCCAGCCTTTACCTGAGACTTTTTGCTATAGCCACTGATAAGGATGCAAAAATTGATGAATTTGTCCAAGAATTCTTCCTCTTGGGATTACAGCTTCCGCAGGCCTCTTAAAGATGAGGAATTTGATGAATGGATGGGCCTATCACAGTTACTCGATGCATGCACCCCTCCCCCTCGCGAAGACTTTTGGATTTGGCCCTTGGATCCGAGTAAATCCTTCACTACCAGCTCTGTTTTAGCATTTGACCATGAATGGAAGCCATACCGAATCTTCCCTTTACTCCAACCTTTGGCAAGGCAAATGTCCCAAAAAGGTCAAATTCTTTTGCTGGGAGCTAAGCCATAGGGCTTTGAATACTTATGATCGGATACAGAGAAAGCTCCCTCATTTCTCCCTCTCCCCTAGCTACTGTCACCTATGTTACAGGGCATCGGAATCCCCGGGACACCTTTTCATCAGTTGCAGCTTTGCCTCTAAATTCTGGGGACGTCTTTTCACTACCTTTGGATGGGAGACAGCACTGCACAACAACCCACTCATCTTCCTTGATAGTCTCTTGGTGGGTCATCCTTTCAAACAGAACAGAGCAACACTATGGACCCTTTTCATCAAAGCCTTCCTTTGGAGCTTATGGTTAGGAAGAAACAACCGAGTCTTTAATGATAAATCTCTTCCTTTTGACTTCTTTTTTGACAGAGTTACTGTTTTAACTCTTGGTTGGTGTAAAAGTTACTATCCATCTTTCAATAGCTACACCCTGAACGAACTTATCTACAATTGGAAGGTGTTGTTGTAAATGCCCTTGCGGCCTTTTGTATATTTCATACCATCAATGAAATACTCGTTTCATATCAAAAAAAAAAAGAAAAAAAAAATTCTTAGATTTCTACAAAGAGCTGTATAAAAGAAAAGAGGATCAAAGATTTTTGCAAGACCTTCTCCAATGAGATCCCATTTTGAGGGACTCAAGCCAGATGATAGAGAAATAATTTACAGAAGAGGAAATTCACCAAGCCATTCTGAATTTGGGCATAAACAAACTATAGGGCTAGATGGACTCACAGCTGAATTTTTCAAAAAATCGTGGAACATAATAAAAAGAATCTTGTGGTTGTGTTCTAAGATTTTTTCAAAAAATGGAATCATAAATGCTAGGCTAAATGAGATATAAATTTGTCTCATGTCAAAGAAAAGAGATGCCAGGACAGTAGAAGACTATAGGCCATCAGTCTCATTCCATGTGCTATAATCGCAAGAGTACTATGAGAGCTGGTTCTTTGAGTTTTAATAAGTCCCAACCAAAAATATATCAAACCAAACGAGTTCGGGGCTGTGCTTAAACCTAAAGTACACCATCTTTGGTTCTTTGAAGTTCTAACAAGCCCCAAACAAAAAGATATTCGAACCAAACAAGTTTGGGGTCGTGTTTGAACCTAAAATGCACCATCTTTGGTTCTTTAGAGTCTTGGGACTCCCCTTGAATGGCAGATATAAATCTCTCCCCTTTTTGGCCCCATGATTGAGAGAGTGGAAAATAGACTTAAAAAATGGATAAATCATCACATATTCAAGAGATGAAGAATGACATCAATACAAGCTTTCCCCCACACATCCACCTACCTACTACTTATCACTCCTGAAATTCCAATTGGAACAGCAAATAGACTTGAGAATGTCCTTAGAAATTTTCTTTCAGAAGGTCCTAAGATGGAAGGAAAGATGCACCTGGTCAACTGGAAGAAAATACAGCTCCCCGATGATAAAGGAGGTTTTGGAATAGGGAATATCAGGAAGAGGAACCAAACTTTACTATCAAAATAGCACTGGAAATATCTGAACAATAATTTACCCCTTTGGAAGAAGCTGATTATGGCCAAATATGGAGCATCTGAAACCGATTCATGGCCTGTAAATAGCCCTTAGTCTGTTGAAGGCCCTTGGGCTGGAATCCTCAAACATGTTATATTCATAAAAGAAAGGGCCATATGCAAAATTGGTTATGGCAACGTGGTAAATTTCTGGAAAGATAAACGGGCCTCAAATATTCCTTTGGCATAGGAGTGTCCTCGTTTGTTTGTCGTATCAACGAGGAAAGGAACACGGGTCTGCAATGTATGGTTTCAAAACACTTACTCATGGGATTACCATTTTAGAAGGCCTCTCAAAAAGGAGAAGATTGCAGATTGGCTGATTCTATTGCAAAAATTGATATCTATTTCTCCATTCTATTCGGAAGACAAATGGTTATGGACAACGGACTCCAAACATATATATTTTTTTATAAGAAACTGCACTTTCATTGAGAGAAATGAAAAATAGATACAAAAAACAAGGAGGGCATACAAAAAAACAGCCCTGCAAAAGGGAACCCTTAAAGAAACGGGCTCCAATCCAAAAGAATGAGACCTAACTGATAATTACAAAAGGCCTTAGTGATCGAACCCCATAAAAAAGTATTAAACATAATGAGGTCCCAAACATAATCCACAGATTTCTCCGCCCCCTAAATAATCTATTGTTCGTCTCCAGCCAGATACCCAAAAAGTAACCAGAAAACATGCTTGCGAAAGAAAACGCCATTTGTCACGAAAATGGGGGAATAACAACACTTCATCATCGTCCTACTATCACTCCAAAAATATATTTTCAGTCAAATCTGTTGTCGACAATTTAATTTCAAAGCAAGTTCCTCAACCCTATGCTTTGTTTGAGAATATTTGGAAGGAGAGATGCCCTAAAAAAGTGAAGTTCCTTAAATGGGAACTCAGTCGACAGTTATCAAGCCTTAACACACATGACAGATTGCAACAAAGATTTCCTACTCTAGCCAACTCTCTCTAATTGATGTATTATATGCTGTAATGAAGCAGAAATGCAAGACCAGCTATTCGCCACATGCAAATTTGCTCAAAGTTCTGGACTTTCCTGATAGAGGAGACTCCTATGCATATTAACATCACGCCCCTTCTTCAAGCATCACTGGGGGCCACCCCTTTAGAAAAGACAGATTCTATGGTCATTACTCAGAGCCTTCATTTGGCGTCTAGGAGGGAAATGAACAATAGAACTTTCAACAATAATTTTCAACCATACAGCAGATTCAGATTCTTAAATAATATTCTGCTTATGGCTCTTAGTTCGTGTAAATGTTACTTTGTTTCTTTTTCTAGTTATACTTTGAAAAATCTTTTGATGAGTTGGAGGGTGATGAGTTGGAGAACATTTTGTAACTCTTCTCCCGTGGGTCCTTTTCCCCTTTGTATATTTTCATCTTACCAATGAAATATATGTTTCTCATAAATTAAAAAAAAAATTAAATAAAAACCTGAAGATTAACATACAGGGAGAAAAAATAACAATGTCGCCATTATAGCGAAATTCAAGCTTCAGTTAAAGTAGAAAAAGGAGCAACTGAAGTTTAACAAGGCATACCTGGGGAAGCAACATTAGAAGACCATATAATGCTTTTAGCAGCCATATATATCTTCCAGGTTCTAGAAGCTGCAAGAATCACAAGAGTGCTGAATTTTCCAAAGATATATCCCACTGAAGAAGAAATAAACTACCCAAGTTATCTTACACAAAAATTTACTATTTCCTCAAGACAAAACAAAACCAACGAAGATAATAAGCCTCCCTTACAGGTCATCTAACACTTTGTACTTCAGTGTTGGCTAATCTTCCTTCTTATTATATCTCTTTGTTTCCAATACCCTCCGGTATTCGTAAACAAATTGAGAAAGCCATGGGGGACTTCTTGTGGGAAGGTGGCTCTTCTGGTAATTTGAAACATTGGGTTAATTGGAAAATTACATCCATGCCTTTGGAGGAAGGGGGGTTAGGCGTCGGAGGACTTCTAGAAAGAAACGAAGCTCTACTAACAAAATGGGGATGGCGTTAATAGTAATGAACCTTCCTCTTTGTGGAGTCAGGTAGTGGAAAGTCTTTATGGATCTGATCCTCATGATTGGTTTACTGCAGTCAGTTATAAGGTTTGCATATGTTGTCCATGGAGTAGTATTTCTAAGCATTGGAAATCAGTGTGCAACTTTGTTCATTTCAAGGATGGAAATGGCCTTAGAGTTTCATTTTGGCATTCTATCTGGGTTGGCAGTAGGCCTTTAAAGGATGTTTTCCCCAGAATTTTTTCAAGTTTTTGGGATTCCGATACTAGATCTTGGAATGTGGTGGTGACTCGGAATGTGGTGACTCAAAGGGCCTTGAAAGAAGAGGAAATGGAGGGGTTTCCGCCTTGCTATCAGCTCTCAGTTTGTTTTCGGTTTCTGCTAATGATGATAGTAGAGTGTGGTCATTAGATCCAAAAGGAGCTTTTCCAGAGCTTTGAGAATGAAGAATTCTTCCACATCTATGCCTAAGGATTTATTTGCCGCTATATGGAAATCCAAAAGTCCAAGAATAGTTAATGTATCTTGCTAGATTCTTTTACAAGGTAACCTTAATACGGCCAAGGTTCTTCAGAAAAAGCTCCCTTCCTCTGCTCTTCTTCCCTCTTTTGCTGTTTATGTGCAGCAAGTGGGGCGTATCATGATCACCTATTTTTCCACTGTACCTATGCAGAAAAATGTTAGTCTCAACTCTGTCACTGTCAGTTTAATGTTGATTGGATTTTTTATCTTAAGGCAGCGAATAATGTCCTTCAGCATTACACGGGCCTTCCCATTTATCGTCTTCAGTTCGGTATTAATGGTTGAATGCTGTTAAAGCTTTATTATCGGAGCTATGGTTCAAATGGAATTTGCAGTTATTTGAGGGCAAGCGAAGGTCCTATGATGAGTGTTTCTCTTCCATTAAGTTTAAGGTCTCACATTGGTGTCCTCTTGTTGATTCATTTTTGCATTACTCTCCCTCTCATATCAATGCTAATTGGGGAGTTTTTATTGATTCTCCATAATTCTGGCACTCTGTTGAGAGTTTGTTGTCCTTGAACACTTGTATTATCTTTTTTAATTATTTCAATGAGAAGTTGTATTTTTTGTTCAAAAAATAATCCTCCCTTACAAAAGATTGCCCAATTGGTATGAATAACAAGAGGAATGTTTATAATGCATTGATTAAAGGTATTAGGACAAAATTGTGAGTTCTGTAGCTGAGTTAAAAACACCCAAATTTCTTTTACACCGCATAGAATTATAACTTGAAAGTCAAAATATATGAGGTTAAATTAGAAATAGTGTGAAAGAAGATTCCTGACAAGCTCGGTAGTTGGTAATCATAGAATCCCCATTACCCATCTCCAATACGCTGATGACACTCTGATTTTCTGTCAAGATGAGGGGAAAATTTGAAGAGGTGGTGGGACTTCCTTGATCTCTTCATGAAGGGTGCCGAACTGTTTTTAAATCGGGAGAAGTCCTCTCTGGTAGGCATAAATATCGAACAGGACCGACTGATACAACAAGCCTCTCACTATTGTTGCAGGGCAGAGAATCTTCCTATTAACTATATGGGGATCCCTCTGGGAGCAAGATACAGAGGAACGGCTTTTTGGGAGCAAACAGTGGACAAAATCAGGGCCAAGCTTGATAAATGGAAAAACCTTTTGTTGTCAAAGGGAGGAAGACTTACACTTGCTTCTGCTATTCTAAATAGTATTCCCAGCTATGCTTTCTCGGTTTTTAAAGCCCCTTCCAAGGTCATCAACAAGACGGAAAGATTGGTGAGAAACTTTTTTCTGGAATGGGTTTCGCCATCATCCCCAACGCCATCTGGTAAATTGGAATTGTACCTCCCTTCCAAGAATTTATGGAGGGCCGGGGATTGGAGCTCTTAGACAGCAGAATGAAGCCCTCCTACAGAAATGGCTTTGGAGATATTTCCAAGAAGAAGATTCATTGTGGAAAAGGGTGAAAATGGAAGTTGGCTTCCCTCTTTGCCGAGAAGAAAGGCTTATGGTGGTCCCTGGCTAGACATTGTCAAGCAAACACCTAATTTTCAAAGGTTTACTTCGTATAAGGCCCAAAATGGGGAGATTAAAATTCTGGAAAGATTTTTGGATTGGGCAAGACTATTTGGAGGTTTGCTTCCCGGATTTGTTCAGTATTTCTGGTAAAAAAGACAACACTGTGGCTGAGTGCTGATCGGATGAACATGCAGACTGGAATTTGGGGTTCAGAAGAGGGCTAAAAGACCAAGAAGTGGATAATTGTATCGGGCTAGTGAATCTACTGGCTTCCTTTCGGTTTAGAAATGAGGAGGATAGGTTGGAATGGAGGCTTGAAAGGGAAAAGAAGTTTTCCACAAAATCAGCCTTTCACAAGCTAACGGAGATGACTCCAAGACTCTTCTCTCCTTTCATTTAGGCAATATGGAAATTCCCCTGCCCAAAGAAGGTGAAAGTTTTCTCATGGAGTATTGCGTATAGAAGCCTTAACACATATGATAAGATGCAGAAAAAACTCCCAAACTGGGTGTTATCCCCTTCGGTCTGCCCTTTATGCCTTAAAAGTGCAGAGGATATTGACCCCCTTCTGATACACACTGTCCTTTCACTTACCAAGGGTGGGTTTTCATAGTGAGAAAATGTGGAATCTCAGGGTGTCTTCCTAGAGGTATTGAGGATTGGCTTATGGAGGTGACACAAGGGGGCCTTTTGAAAGGAAAAGGGAAGATATTATGGAGTTGTGCAGCCCGAGCTCTGCTTTGGAGTATTTGGAAGGAAAGAAACCAATGAGTTTTCAACAATCTTGCTCTCTTTTGACCTTTTTGGTGAAAACTTACAATTTACAATGGCTTCCTGGTGCCTAACCTATAGAAAATTCTTTTGTAACTACAATATAGTTTTGCTTCAGCAAGATTGGCAAAATGTTATGCAGTAGCTCTTTGGGGGGCCTCCTCAGCCCTGCCTGTAGGCTGTCTTCCTTTTGTCAGTAATATATTTTTGTTTCTTATAAAAAAAAAAATTAGAAATATTGAGAAACTATCTAACGATTTCCATATACTTCCACATATTGGCAAAAAGATGGAATTTGAAGGCTTCCTCAAACAAACAAAAAGTTAGTTCAAGGAAGGAGCTACCTAGTTAATGAACCCTGATCTTTTTGCAGACAATCGAAAAAGTTTCACAATACATGTCAAAACAGAAAAACATAGATAAAGGTCAAATAGGTCACAGCCACTTGTTAAAGTATCCGGTGATATGAACAGAGTATTGATTAGTACTTGGTAGTCCACCTTTCCAGAAAACGAGTTGGATTCTTGGGCGAGAAACTTTCTTCACTATTTCGTGGAATTTGTAGCTCGAAAGAAATATAATAGTTTAGATATAGGTAGCGAGTTTAGGAAGGATGTTTTAAGTGCAGTGCATCAAAGCTTCTCTTTGGGCACAGAGTTCCAAAGAGTTCTATAATTATCCTTTATATATAATAACAAACAGAAAAGGTGTAAACTAAACACCAATTAGAACATATTAAACTTCCATGGCCATCTCGACAAAAATTATCCATAATAACCCAATTAGTCTTAGCAACCCCACCAAAGATTACACTTGGTGATGAGGAATTGACCTTAAAGGGCCAAAAGGGGATTACATAAACATCTCTCCAAAAAAAACATTCCAAAAAAATTTCACAGGGAAACCTTGAAATGAATGATGTCCCACACTTTCTCACTTTCTCTAGAGGATTCCTTAAAAAGCCAAAAATTCATTTCTAGCCATGTTACCCACAAAACCCCTTAACATCATTCTCGCAAAAAATATACTAGTAACAATCTAGTAATGCGAGCCAAAGTAGCCCTCCAAAAGCCATTTCTTTACAATGATAGAAGTAAAACTGATTTTTCATTCAAAAAACGATTTCTTTTCTTAATACTCATAAATCCACAAATCACTCAGCGTTCAACAATTTCAAAACTAGGGACCCCTGACTGAAAATACAAGTTACAACACTCCATATAGTTAGAAACTTGTATAATAAGGAGATAACTCTAAAATATAGGAGCCAGTTCATAAATCCAAAATAAAAATTGAGAACAAAATGATGACAGTCATCAACATGCCATAGAAAAATGATGTCATTTTGAAAAATATAATTGTTTTTTCTGTTTTTTTTAATGCAAAACCAAACTTTCATTGAGAAATGTAAAAGATTGTGAAAAGAATGGTAATGTCACAGCTGAAATGCTAAAATTTTATTGGAAAATACATTAATACTTATAAACATATTAATGCTTTCAGTTATAATAAATTATATGATATTAAGATTCAAAATACATAAGCACTTGCCTTCTATTTGACTCAATTTCAAGCAAATTTAAATATCACAAAAAGATGAATTACATCAAGCTTCTTGTACTTTTTTTCTTTTTTTTTCTTTACCAGTGGCTCCTTCGTTGGTCCTGGCATATATTTTTATACGGCCTTTTTATGTTATTTGATTACTTTTAATGGAAGCAGTTTCCTAATTTAAAAGACGACACATTATATGTCTATATCACATTTTGACCAAAAAAAGAAAAACAAAAAACAAATTGAAGGCTCCCAAAAATAATCTTATACCGCAAACATTATTGACATCACATAACTTCACTGGATTTTGT